AACCACCACTTAAATTTAGGAGTTTAACAAGGATATCTTACCAAAATTAATTAAAAGTGGTATGGAGGCACTTTCTTTATATACAGGTTTTACCATATCTGTCTTTAAGATTATTGTATTGTTATACATCAAAAATTAAATAAGTGGTATAAACACACAGTAACATGCAGTATCTTTCTGGAAACACTGTCCTCATTACTATGGAGTCTGGCAGAGGCAGAAATGTCAGAGGCAAGAGGCTTCATGAAATGTGGATGAACTGATGCTGTAAGGTCACTGCACACTTCTTCTATATGTCATGGCAGTGAGGATGACGTGCCTAACAGCTGTTTCTGACTGCTCAGAAGGCAAAAACGAGCTCTAATACAGAAAAGAAACAATCCTGTTCATTCCCTAAGTCTCAGTCTTCATGTTTTGAAACCAAGCAGAGTGACCACACTTGGAAATTACAATATAGCAATACATCCCATTGACTCAACCCCATCTAGTGGAGAAAGACATTTATGAAAGTATAAAGAAAGCCTGGGGATATCAAACTGCTTTCTGACTAACATGTTGACTTACTACAGCTTTATACAGCCTGGAAAAACATTCATTGGTTGGGTCCCTTCCTACCAGTGAAGGGTGATTTTAATGCTATAACATCCAATATTTTAGACTATACTACACTTCTAACTTTGTGGCAACAGTTGGTGTTTCTCTTTCCTGTTTTAACATCATAATTCACCCCTGCACAGAGCTCTGATTTCAACCCTATCCAACCCTGTTGGGATGAACTGGAGCACCACCCGTCAGACCCTATAACCCAACACAGTGTTTCTACGGGTAACATTTCCCCGTGTTGCCCTGCCATGCCAAAATCAAACAAAGTTTTCACAACTCAGAAAATGTCAGAACTAATTCTAAATTGGCATTACCTGGATAGACTGATGGCATATTCTCAATATAAGTGGTTACTTTGTCCCCTGAAAAATGTCAAAACTTAATAAAATGGCACAGTAATCATCCTATGGAAGAAAATGGTAACCGCTTTAGGCCAGGCTCAAAATTTCTGCTGTCGCTGCATAGAGTAGATCTCTCCTAGTTGTAAACAACCAGTATCCCATTTAGTGAAAAAGAGCTTTTATTGATATTTTAAAAATGGTACATTATGATACATTACATTAAACAACAAGGGACAAACAACATCTAGTGTAGGTAGGAACTGTGCAAATGAACAGGATTGTGTTGTATATATGTTTGTACTGAATCTTTCTCTTTGTTTATATCCTTTAATCTACACCAGCAAATTTGATATTAGCAAGCAACAAACCTAAGCCACACAGGCAGAAACCATATGGCTTAATGGCAAGTTTAATCTTTATTATGCTAGAAATTATTAATAACATTTAAATAAACTGTGCACTTTCTTATTTTATAAACACAGAACAATGTAGTTTGCATTTTGCAGTTAATTAGTGATTAAATGTAGTGCTGTGCTAAATTCCAGGACTCAACTTTGTTTCTTTGTTGTTTTTACCAGATTTGATCTTTCACCAGGCCACGAGGTGAGTCAACCTCATGTTTCAGGGTGCAGCCATCAGTTTCAGTATCATTTTAAGGATCTACTGATCACTCTTCCCTGCAGAGGCAAACATGAGTTTTAGCAAGACAACCAGACCACAGAACATAGGATATAAAGAGATAATGGTTTCTTTAAATATAACCCAGGAAAAGCATTTCTGCTTTCCAAAAGATGCACAGTCACAGAAATGTTGACTGAACACAATAGTAATAATGAGGTCTTGGCCCTGTTTGGCCCAGATGGGAAAGTGGCTCTACACAGGACCTTTTGCACCTGGATGAGGCGTGTTCACATGATGTGAATCTGACACCACTATCCATTCTATGGCCTGAATGGACTGAACTTATTTGGCTGTGATAACTAGCGGTGTGTCGGTGGTGGCATCAGGTCCAGTCCCCTCACTCTCATCGCTGTCACTCTCATCTGAATCGCTGTCAGCTGCTCCAGGTGTGACAGTGGCCTCCTCGCTGCTCTGGCTCTCCTTGTCCTCAGACTCCTGGCTGGTGCTGGCACTCTCCTCTTCTTCCTCCTCCTCTTCTGGGGTGCTGGTGGTGGCATCACTAGGGCTAGCACCCTCCTCCTGGTGGTCCTGAGTGGTGACAGAAGATGCGTCCAGACCCTGGCTCTCCACCTCTGGGGTGCTGGTGTCCTCCTCCACGAGATCGGAGTGGACCTGAATAGCCTGAAGATGAGGCAGAGGAGAGAGGGTTAGTTTGATCTGTCTATACAACAAGCCAACAGTAATTATAAAATTATACTAATGGAAGGCAGCAGTGATGGATATTTGCCTACAGTTGTTTGATATATACTGTCTTTATTTATTTATTTATATTTTTGTAAAATGCACTTTGTATGTAAGTGATAGTTGAAAAAGTGGAAGTGACAGTTAAAACAGAATGGAAGTTTTAGTTGAGGTGAAAGTGGAAGCAATGACCATAGCGTCTGAAGTAAAGTAAGACTCAATTGTACATGTGCAAGATCTCTGTGGAAGTGTGAGAAGCTAGCAGACTGTAAACAAGGAACATGTCACCCAGTGCAGGGGTGTGTACATTTTGCTGTAAGTGCTAAACAAAAATAATATTTCCCCTCAAATTTATTAAAACTAAAAGTAACAAACCTGATTTGACAGTGTAAGGAGTAGAAAGTACAGATAGTGTTGTTAAAATGTCTGGAGTAAAAGTAAAAAGTTGTCAGAAAAATAAATACTCAAGGATAAATATCTGAAATATACTTAAGTACAGTAACAAAGTATTTGTACTTCGTTACTTCCCACCTCTAGTGAAATGGAAAGTCTCAGTGTAACTATAAGCAAAGTGGCCCATTTAGATTTTTGTAGAATGAAAATGCAGTAGAATAATTCACTGGTGTTTTTGTTTTTTTTTTTTTTTTAGTTTTGTTTAGTTTTAGCTCCATTTCCTAACACTCTCAGAAAGTTCAAACTCACCCGTACCTTATACACCTTCAGTGACTTCTCCACTTCGTTGCCTTCTGTCATGTCGTAAGCCGTCTTCTTTCCAGTACCAACAAACTCATAGGACTTGTAGGCAACAGGAATCTTGTGGTAGGATTTGTCCTCCACATAGACGATGGACTTGTAGTCACCGGGGTAGCCTCTCATGTTGTCGCCATGGCCTGTATCTGCGTCGGTGACAATGGTCGGCACGATGGGCTCCACAGTGGTTTCGGCTACAGGCTCATCTGTGATGATCACAGGGGTGTCTGTAGCAGGAGCGAGGGTGGAGGACTCGCCTGACTCTGAGCTGGATTCATCCTCCTCTGTTTCCTGGAGATACAGAGGTGAGAGGTGAAGAATGTGGGTAGCGAGACAGGTAGTGGGGTTGTATCTGTCATCATTTGTGACTAGTTAGACAGCTGCACTGTGTGAGTCATTTTAGCTGACTTTCCTTTTTTTCTGAATATATTATAATATAGTACTTTAGCTGTAGTACTTTATAGTACAATAGCTGAAAGGTCAGGCAAACCAGCTAGTTTGAAGTATCTTTACTAATCTATATTTCTCTCTAAAATAACCTTCCAGTAGTTTAAAATCTTCCAGTGTGAAGTAATTGGTAGTTTGTAGCTTCCCCAACATTGTGTATTGGTATGTTTTTCTTCATGCTCACCTTGGTTTCATCATCATTATCATCATCATCATCATCTCCACTGTCCTTGCTTTTGTCAGAGGTTGTATCTGAGGCTAAGGCTGTGTTCGTGCCATCAGTTGTGACTACACTCTGCAAAATCATCAAGCCACAAAGTCATGATCAGAGTTGTTGTTTGCAGACATAAGATTCTCATTAAGGTTTTAAATTGTTGAGCAGGCATGTCTCACCTCGTCTTCATCTGAACTCCCTTTGCTCTCGTCGGAGTCGGTAGCAGCTGCTGCTACAACATTCTACAACATCAATGCATTTCATTAATCCTCTTTTTACTGTTTTTTTTTTTTCAAACTGCACTTTACTGTTTTTATTGCTTTTTTAAAATTATTTCTCAAGCAAATCCAAGACAATAAAAATGTATTTGCGACTGGTTCTCTGTCCCACAAAATCATTCAAAATGAAAAAAAGAAAAACTTGACTAATGAAGAAAGTCTGGATTTCTGGATTGCCTTTCAACACAAAGTACTGAAAGTGAAGATAGACTCGATGACTGACTCGTAGCCTGCTGTTACAGCAGGTGTCTCAGCTCTTTTCTACGCCTAGAAACCATTTCACCAAATTTTCAATAATCAAGCCTCAGTTTCTTCTCATGATTTTGACGTACTTTTATAATTAATTCTAATGTTGTACTTGTGACTGCTACATGAGCACACAAACATCCTGTAGTACTTGCAAATGTGTCTACAATTTTCAAGCAACAGTCATTTGTGAAACATGACATTGCCCCCATCTGTGATCTATGAGTTAGCAGGCTGGCAAATTGGTTTTGTGAAATGACCCTTGAAGACTGTATGCTGAGAAAAACAGGATCCCTAGGAAATGAATGTCTCCAAGCTGCTGTTTTAGTTCCAGGAGTTCAGATAGTGGGTGACAAATAACACTAGATGTTAAAGTATCATTTCTCCACAATGCAGCCCTTTGGTCTCTGAGATGTCGAGCTCTAAAGAGCTCTCATTGTGGTCATTATGTAATCAAATTTCCTGGTGCAAAAATATCTTAGTCTCACTTTTCAAGCACTCAGTATATATATCGTCCAAATCCCTATCAGGTATATAGTGTATAAGAAAGTGGCAAATAATGTACATAAGTAGAGAATACAAGAAAAAAATGAGCAGAGAAAATGACAAACAGGATGATGTGAAAAAGAGTAAATGGTTGAAGTATAGAAATATTTTACCTGTACATGTGCTGCACGGGACTGAGGAACCACTGCAGCCTGTTTCCTGATGGCTGGAACTGCTGGTCGTCTCACCTGTGGACACTGTGGACACAATTGTTGTGTGTGTGTGTCTTTCTTTCTCTCTCTCTCTCTCTCTCTCTCTCTCTCTCTCTGTCTCTCTCTCTCTCTTCAGATACTCACCACTTCTTCAGAGCTCTCTGAACTACGGTACGAAGCTTTTCTCACCTAAAAACAAACATATATACAAAATCTATCAAAAACTAAGTAAATCAAGAAATCAACACAAAACGGATATCAAATTAGTTTGAGACAAATGTCAAAAATGTGATGACCACACAATAAAGTGTTCTCAGTTTAGCAGAGTTAGCTTGACAGGGACAAAGACTCACCGGCCCACACAGAACTGTGGCGAAGAGCAGAACGGTAACAATGGCCACTTTCATTGTATCACAGTTTGGGATCTAGACAGGGGGAAAACCAGAAACCTGCAGGTTGTAATCACACAATAAAACATCATTACATAGCATAGCTATATATATATATTCACAATACACAGATCTGCTCTGGCACAATGATACTTGTCCTGAGGTCATAGTTTCTCAGGAAAGACAATGGTATGTTAAACTGAGAAAGAGCAGTGTGTCTTGTCAATCAATCCTCTCACCCAGATTCCTTCCTTAAAAAAAAGAGCCTGCATGGTCACATGACTGTTAACTGGCAGCAGCATTTACTGAGGCCTTAGTATCACAGAGGAAGTCATTAAGCCCTTAATTACAGACCTAAACTAGCAGTTTGCCATCTTTGATAATTGTTTCAACACAGCAGAATGTTTCTCTGTCATCAGAGAAAGAAAATGACATTGTTTTGGTGTGTGGTTTGTTAAGCTATGAGAGGTTGCTGCTGATTGTGGTGCAGAAGATGTGAGAAAATATCAGGAAGCATCATTTAGAGTAACTACCGTCTGATTAGCATTTGCTTTAATCATTCTGCAAAGCACTCTCCAAGGAAGTATGATCAGTGTTTCTACTTTACAGTAATAATACAGCACTAGCTTAACATGAAACAGCTGTCTTTCAAACAAATGCACCAAAAATATGTATTGCACAAAAGTAAACACATCAAAATCATCATCTACTGAAAATGAGAAGTGGGGCATACAGATGGTGACAAACTAAATGAAAAAGCTGAATAAACAAGTGGGCCCTTTGGCTACACTGACGATACTTGTTAGTAGGATCAGTTTCTTGTTTTCTTTTCATGGACGTCACTGACAAACAGCAACAGTATGTTTTAGTTTTATAGTTTTTTCAAGCCTCTGCTTAAGTGAAACACCAGAGAAATTTCATGTTTATGTTTCAGTCTTTTCTGGCACTCTTAAAAAAACATTATTTTTTCTTTTTAACCCCTCCTTGCTGTAACAAGTTCTACTTTTGTGTATTCTGTGGGAGGAGAAGTCTGAGTGTCTCCTTCTATCTTTAATGATGGACTCTTCCCATACTGTGTAATTCACCAGGTTATAACTGGAAAGCCACAGTGCAACACAAAGGCAGACGCCCATATGGCTGCATGAAACTATATATATATCTATATATCTTGATTTTTGAGGACCGGTTGGAGTTTTGGACCTTGAACATAGGAATGGTTTTATAAAGTGAAGACTGTGTGAAGAAGTGAAGATGGGGAGAAAAAAGGAGAATGAAGTCAACACAGGGTTCCCAGATAGATTTGAATTGCTAATGTTAATGTCATTAAATGGTATGCACCTAAACCATCAGGCCACCAGGATGCAGACAACTTTCCTAGCTCTTATTTTGAAAGTGGATTGAGTGGTCTAAGAGGATGACACCTAACTTCCAGGTCAAATTGATCTTTTCGGTATCCAATTTCAGTTTGAGTTGGTGCTGAGGAGAATCCGACTGCCAAAAGTTAGCACCAGCATTTTTTTATAATTTTTGTGAGAAACTTCGATGTAGTATGTTCTCCCTATTGGGGTCGACACATCAATTATAATATTCTTTGTAGACTGAATGCATTCAGATATTGCTTCCATATTGGAACAAAGAACAGCAAATCACTAAGAGGAAGGAGAGAGAAGGGTTGAAAAGCACATTTTCACCTGTCAGCTTTAAGTTTTCATTCAGAGCTTAATCTAATTTCAAAACTCTAATGGAAAAAAGGAGTCTACAAGAAGGATCTGAATCTTTAAAGTTCTCTTCAGCTCTTCAGTTTGAAACACTGTTGACAGAGCTGGTAGTTAATCTGTGCCTGTTGTCAGTGTTTTTATTCAATGTGGTTAGTCAAGGCTGGTCCAGGTCATGTGACACATAATCCAGAGGTTAGTTTCCTGCTGCCTACAGCTTCCCATAACTGCCCTGGTATCACTGTACACACCTGCCCTAGCTTCACCGTCAACCAATCACAAGCAGATGTCCACAACTGCAAAATCAGGAAAAAAAAGAACTCGCAATTAACTGCAATAAACTGCAGAGCTTCTATAGCACATAACCATACCCTTCTTCTTTGCTTAACACTGGTATTTAAATTTGGATGGTGTTGTACATTTGTGTTTGAAAATTTCCCGAATGAAACTAGAGTTTGTTAGAAAGCCCTCAGAGTTGCAGCTGGACTCTGTATCCACCAAAAAATGACCCTTTATACCAAGTGCACACTGCAAAAACATCAAAATGCCATATGTCTAATATTGAGCCCTAAACTGAATTTTTACAAACACTAAAAAATGTTCTGATGTTCTCGATCTGTTATAAATTGAAATCAATGCTACAGAAATGAGTGTCACTACTCGATCTGTTATAAATTGAAATCAATGTTAGAGAAATGAGTGTCACTATTAAAAACTACACTATAAAGTCCATATTACAGCACTAGAATTAACCTTGAAAGCATTTAATACATGTTGATTTGTACTGTACTTAGGTTTATTTGTTTTTAAGAAAGTAAGACATTTTGGACTTAATTACAGAATAATATCTTCTTAAACAGATCACAAGGGTTAAGAAAGGTTAAAAAGAAAGAAATAACATAACATTAAATAGTTTTGTTAAAAGACATTTTTACAGTGTGGTTTTACGCCACATTGGAAAACATGTTTTCGCTTTCCTACTTCCTACAAACACATTTTCACCATATGAATTGGACAAGTCATGGTAAAACCACTGGCTGCTGACAATTTACCACATTCGCTGCCACAAAGTTGGAAGCAAAATACTAAAATAAAATATCATTGTTGGCTGTAGCATTAAAATTTCCCTCCATTGGAACTAAGGAGCCCAACCCACAAAAATGTAGCCTTAGGCCTAATGTACACACAAGTATGACAGCGGGGGTGTCCTTGTGGTCACATTGTGAATTTCAAATGCATGAAAAAAGTTGCATTTGTGCTTTTCACACTGTAACTTGCATTCTTTAAGCTTGTAAACATGAACCTGCACTCCCACCGCTCATCACCAGCACTGCAGAGAAACTTCATCTAAACACTGTATACACTGTGTATCATTTAGTTTGATATTCATGCTGACCTTGTTCGCAGTCGGAGAAAGCTTCAGGAGTACTGTGGCTGCAGAGATGTTGCGCAGAAATAGACAGACGTGGTTTGTCTTTAGTTTATCTCCTGAGTTTGCCTGGACTAAGTTTGCTGCTCGGTGATGCTGCTGCTAAAACCAAGGTTCCCAGTTGGCTTATAAACCGTCCAGCTTCCAGCCGTAGCCAATCAACTTGGAGTTTGTGATGTCATGAGGTTAACCACTATGTGGCCCACCTCTTCTCTCTCCCACTCTTCCTGTGGTTGGTGCTGTGGTGGTGTGGGGGCAAATACACACACACATACACACACAAGACAAATACATGGATAAAAACATGCAAACACTTACAACCCAGACAGAATGTGAATGTGCTTTTCTGCTTCTCTTTCACACACACACACAGTCATGTTTGCTGTTTATGAGGTTAATTTAAGGACATCAAGTGATAAAATCTGGGGGGGAAACAGCAGTATATAGTGACGGGTGGTATGACAATGATTCAGCTTCCTCACAGACACAGACAGAAGGAAATCATCTGACTGAGGTCTCTCTGGCTGAGGATTTGTCTGCACCAGAGTGATTTGTCTGACTTTAACAGGGGAAGGGGAAGGTTTTTTCTGTTGTTGTACAACTAAAAATCAGGAAAAGGTGGGCTGGTATGTAAAATTTCATTTAAAACTGAAAATAGTGATGTGTAAATCATCTGTGTATCACATTGAAACAATACAGCAGCACATTATTTGATGTGATACCTTTTAGAGTTTATTCTCTGTTCAAAATGAACACATTTCAGTTCCGATGCCTGCAACATATTCCCAAAAAATAAAGTTGGGTCAGCTGCATTTCAGGGCCACTAATGAGGTAAAACAATGAAATGATGATTCCATTTGAAACAGGTCATGTCAACAGATGACTGCATCATGATTTGGTACAAAAGTGGCATCCAGGAAAGGCCGAGCCCTTTAGGAGCAAAGGTGGGCCAAGGACCACCAGTTTGCCAACATACCGTATGTGTGAGAAAATTATTGAAATGTTCCTCAAAGAAAGATAGGAAGGATTTGCATATGTCATCCTCTATGGTGCAGAACCTAAAAGATTCAAGGAGTCTGCAGGGATTTCAGTGTATAAAGGGTCAAACCTAAGCTGGATGACCATGGTCTCTGATCCCTCAGATGTCACTGCATCAAGAATCA